CATGGCAAAAAGTCGCAATGGACCTGTTTTACTTGGAAGGAAAAGACTACCTCCTCGTCACCGACTACTTTTCAAGGTTTCCAGAGATTGCACTTCTCAACAGTCTGACGGCGACTACAATAATAACTCACCTGAAGTCTTTCTTTGCAAGACATGGAACACCTGAAGTAGTCTTTAGTGATAACGGACCACAATTTCGAAAAATACATGGGTCGGAGTTCCAGAAGTTCGCCGAAAAATGGGGTTTTGAACACAGAACATCCAGTCCACGTTACCCCCAAAGTCATGGCTTCGTGGAAGTTGCTGTTGGCATTATCAAACGTAGTTTGAAGAAAACTGGGGACAGCTACGTCGCGTTACAAGCCTACCGCTCGACACCGTTGGGTAACGGCTACAGTCCAGCAGAGTTGATGGGACGGAGATTGCGTGCTTCTCTACCAACGGCTGACTCCCTTCTTCAGCCAAGTCAGGTAGATAAAGAAGCCCTCAATCTTTGGGAAGAACGTAGGATCAGGAATCAGAAGCGTAACTATGACCGACGACACGGTGTCCGCCGGCTTCAACCTTTGATGCCTGGGGATAGAGTGTGGATAACCGATCGACGCGGAACTGGAATAGTGCAGTCGTCGGTGGACACTCCAAGGTCCTACTCCGTCAACACACAGGATGGGAACCTCAGTCGGAGCCGATTTCATCTCGTCCCGATTCCGACAGTGCCCAAATCACCTGACCTTCCACCGCGAGATGCGATTGCGGAAAGAACACTAGAGCCGACCTATGGGACCCCACATTCCGATCACGTTGTGACCCGAAGTGGCCGAGTAGTCAAACCCATGGGCGGCGGAGAAAAGCTCACCGGAGAAAAGCTCACCGGAGATAAGCTCACCGGAGATAAGCTCACCGGAGAAAAGCTCACCGCAAAACCGGCAGATGCGGAGAAAAGCTCACCGATATTTTCTTAGCTTAGCTTGATTCTGCGTCAAACTTGGCAATTTAACACAATTCGCATTCGACACTTCATTAAAAATATGTCCTCGTTTTTTGTAATATTCTTGAGGTTAATTGGGCATATTTCCTATTTCCTCAGAAATTAGTAATCACCCATTCTGTAAATTAATCAAGCCGCATGTATAAAATCTGAACATCGTACACCGGTAAAAAAGGCAACAATTTATTGACAGCTGAGGGTGCGCCGTCGGTACTTCTGTCAGATAAAGAGGTTTGTTTTTTGCGAGCCAATATGAATAGCAGTGTGCGAATCGCTTGAGGTCCAAATATTGTGTAGTGCCTAATAGATAAGTAGATGTTTGTTGATGTCATCAGTGTCGGCTACGCTGTTTTCTTTCTGTTAATTTCACTAACAAAACTTTAGTTGCGAGAACAGCTTCGTCGTGTCGTGTTTGTTGTCTTCACTCCGTCGTCGTCGTTTGAGCGGTTTTCATCATGTATAACGTTTACCAACTCACCCAATTCGCTACCTACCTTACAAAAAAAAAAATAGTTCTTATATAGCTCACGAGTAACAACGGTGACATTGCGCAGCTCTGAGGGTCATGGGTGGCTCACCGTAGAAGGCGCTATCACACAAAGGGAACGTGTGGAAACACCATGCAGCACGAACGGCTAGAAAGCGTGCATGTCCGTGGAAGCACGAACGGCTAGAAAGCATGCATGTCCGTGGAAAAAAAGAAGCCTCGATATCCTATTGACAGCTTTATCCTGCTTTCAAATGTTAACAAAAGCTTCAAAGAGAATTTCAGGCACCGTGTTGTTGCACATGCACTTTTGGATTTTCGGCATTTACACCTTTGATTTTTAGGTTTTAGGCAGTCATCATTACGTTTTTTTTTGTTTTTTTTTTTTACTTTTTCCTGTTTTTAAGTTCATAAAGATTTTAGTTAGGCTTTTGTTGCATAAAAAGCCACAAAAAACACTCTCCCGCAATTATTAATTTGGGAGCAATATACCCAATAAGCTTAACAAATATTACAAAAGAGGACATTTTATTTTTTACAAAGCTGACGAATTTTAATGATAATAAATGGATATATGTTACGCTCGATCCAACAGCCTCCATATAAAAAGAAGAAAAAATATCGGTGAGCAAATTTTCTCCGCATACGCTCAATGGCCGGTGAGCTTTTCTCCGCATCCGCCGGTTTTGCGGTGAGCTTTTCTCCGGTGAGCTTATCTCCGGTGAGCTTTTCTCCAGTGAGCTTTTCTCCGGTGAGCTTTTCTCCGGGATTCAAACCCATAGTACGCTTTAGCCCTTAGCTAAAAGGGGGAGATGTGCTAGGAGCTATAGTCATCGCGAGTCGTGAGCCGGAAAAGACGACGATGAAGAAAAGGGAGGGGCGCTCGAGACAGATTATTAAATGGCTGATTCTAAACGGACGCTGGTTGAGTCCTGAGTTCCTAAGGCCCTGACAACACAGTATTGGCTGTGGCGGTTTCCTCAACATGGCGCACGATGGCGCAGACAAATGCGTCTGGCGCAAAATGGCGCAAATGGCGCAGCCGTTCCACCCTGTGAGTATTTCTGCCCAACCCTGGTTGATGCTGCTACTCATTGATAATATCACACGCGCTCAGATCTGCTTTCAAATATTCCTCTCAAAGAAGCTTTCAAAATTTTCCTTTTACACTGAACCATTTGTGAGGAGCAGCGTCAACCAGCTGGTTTTTGCCGTGTCCCTGCCTTTGCATAGGAAAGAACAATCTTTACAGGCCTAAATTATTTTCCTACCCATAAAGCTCGAGTATATAAATGCACCAGCTAAAGACACCTTTGTGAAAAGTTTCATTGCACTCAATTCATTGGTTTATTAATAAAACTTTTTTACCACATGGATGGCACTCGAGAACACTCTGTGGTACTACAGTACCTATAAACTCACTAAAACAGGCCTTGACAGCAATGAAAATTTTGGTTTGCAGTAAAAGGAGCGTATGCGGAACGCAGATACTCCTAGACTTAGACGTGGGTTATGACCGGAGTCCATTCTAACCAGTGATACTGGCAAAATGTGAATGGATATTAGAGAAGAACTGGTTTATTGAAACTTCTGATTTTGGAAAGCTAATTTTTCTTTATCAAGCTGTACTGATCACCACTGCACCGTTTTGGTCGTGTAAGGTGCCACGTGCGATGACAGCGGTTCCCGAAATTGATGCCAGTGCTACTGAACCAAAGCTGCGTATGCCCAAATAATGACTGCCGTCAACTAGTGGAATGATAATGGAATGATGCACTACTTACAAACTCCTTAATAGAGCCTATTATATCCAAATGTTACAGCAGAATCTGTAACAAGCGGAGTTGGAATTGCATACAGTATATAGGAAGACCAACCAAACTTTCAAAATCGGTATGTTACAAACGAATGTCTGCTGTAGCCAGACCTGTTGTAACGAGGTGATACTGTAATGGGCATGCATACCTACATCTAAATTGTGCGCTGCAAAGAAACATTGCGCTAATTCTTTTTTAGGGGCATGTGTCCTCTCAAGGCACTTAAGTGTTTTTTTTTTTGTTTTGGGGAGGAGGGGGGTTTCATTTAAGTTTCCCCTGCCCCCATGTAATGGTGGTCAGGTCACCTGAAAACAGATTTTGTTTTGTTCAGACAAATTTCGGTGCTTGCCACTTGGGTGGGACTAGGTCAGGGGCTCTCAAATGGGAATCCGTGGACCTTTTCGGGCCCCAGATGATTTTCTACGGGACCTTGATCCACATCTGCCGAGTCAGTACGGTTAATTATTCTTCATTTTGGAGCTTCAAAGTTGGCTTATTGTATTTAGTAGTTTTCCTTATTCATCCGATGGTCACTGTGCCAAGCCGCATTTTAGAGCGCGGCTCTTAGGCGCCCGTTTCCGGCTTGAGCGGCGTCGCCATCGCCGTCGGCGGAACCGCGAGGTGACGTGACCCCCCCAAGGTCACATGACCCGCAAGGTCACGCGACCCCTCCCCCAGGGTCACGTGACTCCCCAAGTCATAAGACCCCCCCAGGTCACGTGACACCCCCCTCCCCCCGAAGTCACGTGACACCCTCCCCCCGAGGTCAGGTGACCCCCCCCCCCCCCCCCCCCCCCGGAGCATATTCAAGAATGAGGGGAGGAGGAGAAGGAGGGGTCTACCCTCCCCTCAGTACCCTTCCCTCCTCCTCCTCAAGAGGTGCGCTCCAATTCGGCGTTACAGGGAGTTGTAGACGGCTTTCTTTTTTTTCCCATTTTCCTCATTCACCCATTTGTCAAACACCAAGCCTGCAATCTGTCGCCTAGCCCGGCGGTGTCAAGTGCATTTCTGGCCTCATCTACGAAGAGACCCGCGGCGGCTTCAAGGTATTTCTGGAGAATGTCATTCGCGATGCCATCACCTACACCGAGCGCGCCAAGAGGAAGACCGTGACGGCCATGGGTGTGGTGTATGTGCTCCAGAAGTTTAGGTCATTAACAGCTGTTCGGGCATCCTTAAACATCAGTAGTTGGGAACCACTGGACTAGGTTTTGCAAAATAGATCGGCTCCAATGCTTAATTTGCTCGTTCTTTTCTAACGTCCTCTTGCAATCAAAACAATGAACAGAGCTCAGAGAAAATCATTAAGTGACTTTATTCCATAGCTCCTCCACAACAAAAAAGAAAAAAAAAACGAAAAACGCCGGGAACAATTTTTACACACACACTATTACTTTAAAATCTCTTGAATTACTAGTCCCTTCATTCCCAGCCTCACTCCACCGTCCCCATCAATGGGGGCGGGGCGGAGGGGGGGGGGCGGGGAGGGAGGGCAACACACTTTATACCAGCATGAGTCATCACTATTAACTTTATTCTTTAATCACGACCTTAAGGCTCGGTTGTCTGGTTCCAGCGCAGCGGTGCCAACGTGGTCTTGAGACTCCACCCCTCCGTTATGGGGGCATGGTCACCGGAGAGAGTAGAGAACGACGCGCTCTTTGGGGTCACTGCCAGGCTTGTACAAAAAGGGGATGGCGTGGCGTCATCACTGCCTGAAGATGGAGAAGCGCTTGGTGGGGAGCATGCCCTCCTTACTCAGCAGCCCCGTCTCTATGTCCTCCAGGGGGGGCAGGCCGGACAGGTTGCCTAACGCTGCCACCGAGGCTCGGCCGCGGAGCATCCGCTGCACCACCCGGTGGATGTCCTCCTCCTTGATCTTGCCTGGGGAGAGGAATGCACACTTCAGCCACTGCTTCACCACTCCAAGGGGATTCAACACACCCTTAAGGTCACTTCACAGAGGCATCTCAGCCCTGAGGTAACGCAAAGCCAGCGCTGTATCAGTGCTACTGTTAGCATGACTAAGTACCACACTAAAGCAGTGTTGTGCGTGTAAGCAAAGAAAGGCAGGGTACATGCATTGGATTGGCTCTGATATAGTGGAAGGCCAGCAATTTGTTTATAGCACTGAGTAACGCTGCAGCGTATCTGTGAACAGGCTTTTAACCCTTTGACGCACAGCGGCGATTACATGTCTGAAAGTTCCTGCCTAAATGCGGAACTATGTGCTCCCCGCAGATTGTTATGTCTTTGGAGAATTACGGATGCTGTATTTGCACCTGGTTCGCCTTTGCTGGGGCTATTTATGGTTTTAAAGAGATACTTTAACAAAATTTCAAATATACCCGTCGTGTTCATAAATAGGCAGAATATGATCCACAATATCCGTAAGTGACAATCGCACGTTTGTATTTTGAGCCTGAGGGCTGTATTTTTCATTATAAACGGCCCACTCTGGCAAACGCTCAGAGGGCAGCCAGCGGAGACGCATCACATCCGCCGCAATCGTGACATAGTTTGTTTCGGGACCTTACGTCTGGAAGCAGCGGACGGTGCGAGCTATCCCAGCCAATCCCGCTCTGTGGACGTAGCCCGTGATACGCTTTCCGCACGTCGCTGTGCCCCCTCTCCAATGTTACATGACATTCACACGCACGGCCTTGGATAGGCTTCAATGACTCGTAGCATCCGCTAAAAGCAGCCGAAGCACACCAGCGATCGGGCCACCCGCAAGTAACCCCAAGGCTGTCTTTGTATGAATTTTGAGTGACGGGTTAATCTTCTATAGTCTTGTAGAGGGAAGCTAGCGAATTCTGAAACACACAAAAGAGAGTATTGGGGAGAGAGGAGTTTCTCCTTCAGCACTTCTCTCGTTGTGGCCGGAGGCAAGACAATTACCGTCACCACCTGTCAAGGTTCCTAGATGGGCATTAAAAACAAGGCTTTAGCGACATCCACCAGGTGCTTTTTGCGAATCGTTTAACTCGTTTTAAAATTCCTTTTCGTGTCTTTTTCAACAAGATATTGATGTGTCTGATGTGGTAATGCTCCATTGAACACAAATAGACCAAAAAAATAAGCGCCAAAATCTCATTGTAGTATGCCTTTAAAATAAGAAACGCTGTGCACAGGATATATGAAAGAGTCGATTTGAGTGTCAGTTGCTCCTGAAGTAGTGGGCAGTGGGCTGGTGGCAATCGGAGCGAGGGTTCATTGTCCAAAAGAGAGGCTCTGAAAGTGCCTCCGGTTCGGAGTCAAAAACAGCCTCGTGCCAAAATAAAACCATATGGAAGAAAGGAGACAAATTTTAGCCCTTAATATTTTTATTGGATGCTTTTCAAGCTAGACAGCTTGCAAGCACTGTACATACTCCTGTCATATAATCAAAACAGAAGACAAATGTAACAATAATAATAAATAAAATATACACCAACCAAATCCTCGTATAAAGGCAAAACCCTACGTTTCGAGACCAGCTCGGTCTCTTCTTCAGGGGTTGACTGCGGCTACGGTCGTTGAGCTGGTCTCGAAACGTAGGGTTTTGCCTTTATACGAGGATTTGGTTGGTGTATATTTTATTTATTATTATTGTTGCTCCCCAACCAGAGAGACTTCTCTCAAATGTTCACCTTCAAGAAGACAAATGTGCATTGTCATATTCTCTGTACTGTCCCTTTTTAAGAAAAAACGGATAGCTAAAGCATATTTTTATACCGTAAAACAAACTCTCTGATACTTTCTTGGTTTTCCAAGATAAAAAGAATATTTACGTTGATTCCAAAATGTTTGGCAAGGTCGGGCCGTCGGGTCCTGACGTTTTCAACCAGGCCCGACGCAGTTCGGGATAAATCGACCTGAACCCAGCCCGAACGGTGCTCTTGTGTACTGTTCACCTGAGCCCGACCCGACTGTCGGGTCGAGTTTTTAGGCTAGCTTGAGCCCGTGCAGATCCCTAGGCCACATCACAATCAAACAAAGCTCACGGATTACGGTAGATAAGGGCATGTGTCAACGGTCTACTTAAAAGTGGCTAATGGCGATACGTCGGAAAATAGCAGGACCAATTGTCCCGGGAACCGAAAAAAAAAAAAAAAAATGTCATACGGAAATTATATTAGTACCCAAAACAGGCTCCAAAAGATAATAAAATATGCGTTCATGTTTGGTAAGAAACTCGTGAGGACCCCGGACACAGTGGAATACTGGCAGTCTGGCACGGCCTCCGGGATCAGCTCGCTCTTTCTAATTTTTCAAAAACCAGCGAAAGGTTTCGTTTTTTGTTTTTTTCAAATTTGGCATCAAATTACAGATTGCGGTGGCTGGTCGCGGTAGTCGCAGCCCACCGTGGCGTGACCACCACGGCCGCAATGGGTCATTCGTGGATTATTTGGAATGTGATTTCGACGACAAGCTCAATCACATTCCAATAAGTTCCGCTTGACGAGAGATTCTAGTGGGGTTCCTAACGTTTCAGGCCCCACTCTAAACCTTTTACACGGCTTGCAAAAGCTATCGGGAATGCGAGTGGAATATAAAGACATCACGAAACAAAAACCGTGGTTTCCCGGGGATCCGAAGCAGCTATTTGCGACAGCATTCATTTCCTTATTTTTTCCATTTTGCTATTTTCTTAAGACCTGTGGCCCTCTGTGCTCAACACCAGTAAGCCCGACTTCGACGGATTGTACGTCAGCGAGAGATACTCCTTTCCTCGTTTGCTTTGAAAAGGGGCAGGATCGTGCAGGTGGGAGCATAACGTGAAGTTGAGAATGAAAAGGAATGCAAGCCCCATAAACCCGCTTTTTGCAAGGACTAGCAAGCATAAACAAATGCCAACTCATGCCTCGCACTTTGTACATGTAAGGCATTAAATCTGAGAATTGGAGTATGTGCACCATAAATAACGCTTTGAACTTACTTTAGATGTTTCACGAAAAATCAGTTTCTCAACGTATTGCGCCACAATTTACTAGAGAGGCGCGGCTAGGTGGGGGAAGATTGCGGTGAAAATGTCGACGGATAAACTTATCACATTCAAGAACGAAAAAAGAAAAACCAGTTTCGGGCATTCTGCGGTGCCATTCACAGCCGGTGTCACGACAGTGCTCGCCAAGATGCGTCTGCCGCCAACAGATGTCGGAACTGTCAAGGGTGTGCCAACGCTGAGCCTAGTGGACGATCTTCAGAAACTTTTCACTATGCCGGAGCGTGTCTCTGATGTACAATTCTGAAAAGGCTATACAGTTCAACCTGGATATAAGAAACTTGACAAATTCTCGAAAAACTTTGCTATAAAGAGGATTTCATTATAAGTAGTTTCGGCATAAAAATTCGGGAAAAAAATGCACAAATGAAACAAAAGTACAAGAGGAGGTCGGCATCACCCAGAACATTTATTTGGCGGCAAAAAACTGCGTGATTTTGCTCTGCTGCTTGTTCATGACGGACGGTAGCACAGAACTCTTGTATGAGATTGACGCACACAACATTGCCCCGTCATCGTCCAGCAAGCCCGCGGCATGGTGTAAAACGTCAATCGCATCCAACACTTCCTTCGTGGACGGCAAGTCACGCGATGCATCGACTTCCGAAGGTCCGTCGTCGTCGTCTTGATATCGGACACTTTCGACGAGTACGTCATCTGACATCTCTTCGGTAGTGACGGTGCAGTCGTCAGTCAGCATGCAAAAAGTCGCACAGCTGCACGTCGTCTGGCACTGCTCCGTTTGCACGCAATGAAACCCAAGCTTCGGCAAGATGGGCGGGCTTGAAGGCTCCTCCTCTCCACTGCCAGTTACAGGACATTCCTCAGCTGTTTCAACCTCTTTAGTTATCCGGGCCTTTCTGAAGCAGTTTGAGATTACGACCACACTCGTTTCACGCCAGGGAGCTTCAAGCATTTCAACCGTACGAAAAATGTCCACTTTTGTCTCCCGCTGAAAACCAAGGACCAGAAGGAGCCTTTGGATTAGCCTACGTCGGTAGGAGCACTTGACGCTGTTCATGATTCCTCTGTCGAGGGGCTGCATGAGCGACGTGCAGTTCGCAGGCAGATACTGCAGTTCAATGTTGGTCAGCTGGAGGCCTTTGACATGGTGGCAGTACAGTTGTCTACAAGGAGACAAACTTGGCATCCTTGCTTCTTCATGTCCTCATCAAACTCCTTCAGCCAGTCACTGAACATGTCCCGCGTCATCCATGCCTTAGTGTTTGATGAGTATGTGACAGGCATTCTCCGTGCCCCTTTGAAGTACCTCGGTCGGGCACTCTTGCCGATGACCAGCGGAACCCGCTTGTCACTTCCGACTGAATTCACGCACAGAAAGACAGTGAGGCGACGTTTACTCTGCTTGCCGCCGTGGCAGATATCTCCTTTCAGCGTAAGGGTGCGGTTTGGGAGCATCTCATTAAATAGGGCCGTCTCGTCAGCATTCTACGTATCGCATGGCTCGTACTGCTGCAAAATTCCTGGCAGCTTCTTCTCAACCCAAGAAGCGGCACTCTCGCTGCCCACAGAGGACGACTCGCCGCTAATCATTCTGCCAACGATCCCAAACCTGTTTTTGAAGCCTAGCAGCCACTGATCGCTCGCCTTCAAATCGTTGCAACCCAAGATGCAAGCGTAGTCCTTTGCCTTCTGCTGCAAAACGGCGCCGCTGATGGGGACATTTCGAGCCCTCGTGTCCATAAACCACGTGCACACAGCCTTGTCAACGTCGGCGTATGTGAACTGTTTCAGCTTCTTCTTCTTGCCACTGGTGCAAGCCTCCACTGCACTGTGAATCGCATCTTTAGCATCCAGAATGGTAGACAGGCTACCGGCCGGGTATGCCAAATCTCGCAGCGACGTCCATCTTCTTTTTGCCTGCGGCAACGCATCG